GAGTAAGCTAAACTAAATCTATAAATAGAAGGAGTAACCCCTATTTTTGTAATTAATCCAATTAAGTTGTATTCACAGAATTTGAAGTTGCAGGTGAATAAGAAGCTTCCCATAGTTTGTGGACAGAGAGAAAATCTGCATAAAATAATTGTCTTCTTTCTTTCATATTTTTTCATTGTTATTGTGTGGTGTTAACAATCTTGTTCATCAAGATTGATAGAAATTCATCATAGGTTTTGGTGGATTTCCAACAATCAATGCATTGGAAATTGAAATAATTGACTTTTGTAAAGAATATTTTCTTTATTTGGTATCCTTAAAGAGTGCCCTCAGGGAACTGGTTAGCATGACCCTTAAATCACCACTAAAAACCCGAAAATATCCTTCATAAATGCACTTCCGAACACACCTATCAAGATGTTTTGGATGTGCATCTCTGAAGTCACCATATTTCCACGTTTTAATACTTAAAAGTTTTATTTGAAATCCTTGAGGTAGTTTCAGATATGCATATCCGAAACATGCTGATAGGTGAGTTCGGAAGTGCATTTTTGAAACCACCCTTTCCATATTAGAATGATGCATGGTCACCTATTCCAACTATTCCATCCATTTTCTATTCCTCCGTAAACAAAACCCCCATAAACCTTCAATCATTTTCAATGGAATTTTCGTCTTCAAATCAAGTTTCAAGTGTTTGACTATACCAAAGAGAGCCTAAAAAGCTGCAATTTGAGGTAAACTTTCATTATTTCATTATACATTTCTTGCATTGAAGCTGATTTGTTGAAGAAGAAAACAACATCACTTCGGATATGCACTTGCGAATTCAACCTACCATAATTCAAATGTGCATATCCGAAACAATGTCTGTTACAAAACCAGAATTCTGTTTTAACAGAATTCATGTTTTTTTAACATGTTAATATTTTTTTTAACATGTTAGTTATGGTGCACCCCGATAATATTGTCAAAGCTCTCGAAAAGGTTTCAGACAAGGTCAACAAAGATGATAAGCCGATTATAGTGAAGGATGTTGATAAAATGATTGATGTTATATAAATTATGGACAACAATTTCAAAATGATAAAAAATTTACTTCTCGTCAACATATGCTTGAATGAGTTCGAATGAAAGCTAGAAAAACTTGGGTTTGACGTTGTGATCGAAAAGTCTGACAATGATATTAGTCAAAGGTAACCTTTTGTTGTAATGACATGTGAGAGAAGTGAGAAATATGTTCCAAAAATTTGGAAGCAAAAACATTATGACACGGGATCAAGGAAATGTGAGTGTCTATTTAAATTGCATGGTTATTGTAGGGTGGATGGCTTATGGTGTTATAATGTCATGTTTGGTATGCATAATCATGCGTTGGACACCAAGCTACACATGCATCCAATTGTATGTTGGCTTAAGACGATAGAGAAGGAATTTATTTCTTAATTATAGTTGATCAAAGTTGCACCGAAAAACATACTTGTCGGTTTGAAACAGAATAAGTCGGAAAGTGTTTCAAATATCAAGTCGGTTTACAATCATCGTTATAAAAAATGAATTGCACAAAGAGGTCTGAGGTTCGAAATGCAACATTTATTTAAATGTTTGGATGATAACCACTATATTTCCAGGTACATAGTTTGTGTGGACAAAGTCAGTATTCGAGACATTTTCTGGACTCATCCAGAAAGTATAAATTTGTTCAATACATTTCCAACCATCCTTATGATTGATTCGATGTACAAGATCAACAAGTACAAGCTTCCGCTTCTAAAAATTGTCGGCGTCACCATTATGAACAAGACATATTCGATTGGATTTGATTTTTTGGAATGTGAGAAAGAAGACAACATCACTTGTGCGTTGGGTATATGCAAGACTTTGCTGAAGGATCCATAAAATATGCCTAAGGTCATTGTTACCGACCGAGATAACGCCCTTATGAATGTCGTTGGCATTGTCTTTCCTTCATCAACCACACTACTTTGTCGGTATCATATAACAAAAAATGTGAGAGAATGGCTCAAACCCGCAGTTGACACCAAATAAAAAAGAGTGAAGACGAAAATATGGTCAAATCCTGTGTTGTGGTTGAGAAGATAATGGGTGTATGGACTAATATTCTCAACCCTGCTACAAAAGAGTTATATACTGAGATTGTGGTACACTTCAGGAACTTGTGTGTCAAATATCCAAATTTCTTGAAATATGTTAAGTCTACTATCCTTGATCAGGTGAAAGAGAAAGTTGTATGTGCTTGGGCATGTTAGACATTTGGGGAACACAACAACTAATATAGTGGAATCTGCACATGTGGCATTGAATTGGTTGGGTGATAGTAAGGGAGACCTTTGTAGATAATGGCACACAGTGGACCAAATGCTCCAAAACCAACATAATGAAATTCAAACAATATTTGGTAGGAGAAAAACTGTATTTGAATATCGATTCAAAGACACCACTCTATATTCGCAGTTGGTTCACAACATATCCCGAACAAGATTGAATTTCATTTGTTATGAAGCGAAACGGGCGGACGACGGGGCCATATAGTTTGAAATATGGATGTACAAAAAGGAAGATTTACGGGCTTCCATGTGCTTGTGTTATTTCTAAAAAAAATTAAACTCAATACCCACATACGTATGGATGAGGTTTACACTCATTGGAAAAGACTTTGATTTGATGACTACGAGTCGACAAAGGAAGTTAAATCCGACATAACCATTACAACCGAGTTGGAAGTGATAATGGATATATTTTCTAAAGTGGATGATGCTACGAAGTTTCACATTAAATAACAGTTGAGAAAAGTCGTCTTTTCAGAAATAACCGATTTGAAACCCCATTCGCAACCGATAAAAACAAAAGGTGCACCTAAAAAAGCAAAAAATTCTCAGGGTGACGGTTTAACAAAGCGAACTCCTTCTTATCACGAAGTTGTTTTAATATTCCTGGATTCTCCAACCCCAAAATCCAAAACTAGTGTTAACAAAGGAGCTCGCATTTCTAAACCACCTCGTACACCGCCTAATATAAAACAACCACAACCGCCACCGCCACCTATTATCTACAGTGATAAGATGTCAATTTTTACGTACAACCACATTGAACGAATCGTGGATGTGGTGAGTGATGTTAATTGCGGTTATCGTGTTGTATCCGGGTTACTTGGTGATGGAGAGGAAAATATCACTCTTCTGCGCCAAGCACTTATTTCGGAGTTGATGACGCATAGAGAACTATACACTCGCCTATATATGACTAAGAGAAATTTAATAAAGTTCATCATGTTGTTGCTCCAAGTGTTACCGTTTGCACACCAGTTTCTAAGTGAATAAGCTTCCCTGAAATGGCTCATCTTATAGCAAGTGCATACGAGAGGGTGTGTATTGACTTGACGAGGTATGGGTTTTCAGAGATATTTTTTCCTTTTCGGACTCCCCCTCCTAAAGATCCACCCGAACGCATCATGTGTATTAGGTACCTTAGATCGTGCCATTTTGTTCAGATTTGTTTGAAACTGGGTTGTCCTATACCGACTACATCCGTGGAATGGACGACACATCATGAAAAAAAGGCGAAAACTTGGCCGGATGAGTTTTTGGATAAGATGGTAGCGTTCACCAATTTGATGGAGCTTGAGAGAGAATAAAATAGGGAGAAGTCGAAGAAAGAACCATTTTTAGATTTAAGCGGTGATAATTCGTTCGGTGCATTTTAGAATGTAATCGAACCATTTTTTGAATGTATTGTTGTACATATTGTAAAATCTATACGTTTCAATACATATATAACATATTATCTATCTTTTGTTTTACAATTGTTTATTTTTTTCATGTCACTTTGGTACAAATTTTGATTATGAGTTCTGGTTTTGTATAATTCGGAAGTGTACTTCCAAAATGATCTTAAACTTTAAAAAAAACACAAGGGCATAATTTAGATATGAACATCCGAATTCACCTCTTATTTTTATTAAAAAACGTGGTGTTTTCGGATGTGCATTTTCGAAAACCACTAATTTTGATTAAAAAAGGTTAATTCGAAAGTTCATATCCGAATCATGTCATGATAAGATTTCTTTGGTCCATATTGCTCCAAAAAGGCTATAAATTGGGTCTTCCATACTATTTCTTTACCATTCACATACCACATCTAGAAATGACACAAACATATCCACACCTTGCATTTGTCTACTTAAGTGGTGCACAATCACCATTTCAATTCAGGTTCTCGCATGACATGTCGTCGAGTTCATTACCATACTGCATTCTCTCTTACAATACTCGGAGAATTGAAAGGTGATCAAACTTGAGTATCGTTCACCTTCAATTGATATTGATGGTAACGTAAAGTTCACCCCGTTTGAGCTCAAGAACGACAACGATTTAGAGGTTATGTGAGGTATCTTTCAACAATACTCTTCTAAAAGTCCGATTGAGATGAATGTGAAGCTTTAAAGATTGACAGAAGATGTTATCAAGATGTGGTGATGTCCTCAACTCCCCGTTTATAATAATATATATCTTTAATTTTCTGCATTACTATTTATGTAACTTCTTTGAATTATGTTGGATGAATATCATGAATTATGTTGAATAATATTCTGCTCGGGGATAAATTCGGATATGCATATCTGAAATTGTCTAACAGATGACTTCAGATATGCATATCCGAAGTAAATTTTATAAATCACATTAAATGTTCATTCGAATATACACTTCTAAATTCTGAAGATAGTTTAAACTTTTCACCGAAGATCTAAAAGAGACATGCTAAATGAGAAAAGAAATTCTATTTTTCTTTTTGCCGCATAGAATAGAAAATTGCATTTTTGCCACATATATTTCAAAAACTTCCATAATTTTTATTTTTATTCAACTTAATTAAATAATGTAACTTATACACAGTGTCTCAGATGTCACCCGATCCAATTTCAGTGAAAATCCATAACTATTGCATTAAAATATAAAATATTAACAAAAATTCGCGAACAGTTATCTCGTGCGGACAAATGAAACGCTGTGTCTAGTCTCCGAAACGGCGTCGTTGAATCCAACCAACCTACATTTAACGCCACTAGAAGAAGAAACAACAGCGGGAACCGGATTTCCCTGAACCGGGTTCGTGGTTCTACGGTACAGTCCAAACCACTTATTTTGCATGTACCGGTTCTTTCTCCAAGGAGGTATCGATAACCCTGTACTCCTTAAACACAGTTTCACAGCACCACACAACGCCAAAACGGTGCGTTTAAGCTCCTCCGATGTTCCAATGAAAATTCCAGGAACATAACTCATAATCTCTGTGTAACGACTAGTTGGCCGTGCGATTTCAAACTTTCCGGCGAAATCAAGCTCAACGAAGTATCTACTCTGCCACGTGGACGATCCAGATCGCGCCACGTCGATAAACTCGTGGCTGCCGGCAGTTAATCCGCCAGAGGATTCCCACCGCGTCTTACAAACCGCAGCATTGTGCCCCTTCTCACGCAAAAAAGACATCACGCTTCGATTAAAAACCGAAAAGCTTTCTTTCTTCAGAAATGCAAACTTAACTGCAGCTTCAGAAACATGCACGTGAAGCATGTTCATGTCAGAGTCTAGATCAGCATTTTCAGCTCTTAATTTTAGCAGATCCTCCACAGTGTCCATGCAATCCGAAACTGAGTCAACTCGCTTCGAATTGAAATCGGTCTCCGCTGAATCACACTCGTTTTCAATATCCTCCTCGAGGAAATCATGCACAAGCTCAGACAGAGACGGTGAAGAAGTGAGTTCTGCGTCACCGGAATGTTCGCTTCCGCTGCTGATGCCGCTCAGTTGGTCGAAATTACCGCCGAGTAGTCGAGATTTGGCTTCGTCATTGAATGGATCAGTGACTCGTTTATTTCTAGCAAAATCCATCTCTGTAATGATTCAAAGAGCTATAAATTCTGATTTATGATTTTTTTTGTTAGTAGATGTAAGTGTAAAGTTTGTTTATATATTATTAGTTAGAATTTTGTAGAGAATATTCGAGGGAAACTATTTATTTTAAACTCTTAGATTTTATGCGTTTTGGGATCAATTTTTTTTTTTTGGGAATTTAATAATTTGACTAAGTTAAAGTGTTAAATAAGGATATGCTATATAGGTTCGAAATGTCGATACTTTGGCATATTCATTTTCTTTTTTAGGAAATTTTTATATACCCATTAAACAAAGTTGGATTAATCTGAAAATTTTAATGTCCTACTATCTTTTTGGAAGAGAAATATCAAACCTAACATTTAATTCATCAATATATATTAATATTAATATGTTATAGTTTCAAAAAAAATGTTATTGGTGAAGAGATTCTGCTCATTTAATAGGCTAAAGTGTATAAAATGAAATAGTTTTGTCCATTCATTTGAGAGTGTGCAATTTTTTTAAAATTATTTATTTATTATCTGTCGAGTTTTATGTGAATTTTACCAGTCAAATAACATTCTTACAAAATTATATAATTTTTATATATACGATTTTATTAACATCCGTAGGTAAATATGTAGGAAATTTCGCAGGAAAGTAATTCTGTAACAAAATCCGTAGGAAAATTCAAAGAACTCAAGTTTTTTAAGAAAATCTGTAGAAAAATAAAATATAATAAAAATATATATAAAATAGGAGGATACGCCAAATCTATTAGCAAATGTATTTTAAAATATTATTTTTTGTTTGAAAAGATAGTATTTTGATATTTATGGGGAAAAATGATAGTTTAATATTTAAATTAGAAAAACAATTGTATATTTGTGAAAATTTTGATTAACATACTTAAACTGAATGGTCAATACAGAGAGAAGTAAGTGTGTGTCCACATTTTGTTTTGTTATTACTAAACAATATGTGTTTAAAAATAATTTCATATCACCACCCTTTCATCTTCTTTTTTAGATTTAGTTTGGGTCTCTTTTATATTGGGTGTAATTGGGTTTCATTCTTTTCATTTCTTCCATAATCAAAATTGATTTTATTGGTTGATCAAAATCTGTAAGTTAGTCGGAGGATGATCTTTGACGGATTGAAAAGTTGAGGAAAAATGGGGTTGTACCTGTAAGACACTCTAACGATCAAGTAAGTGTGGGAGCAAAGAGATGCAAGCAAAATATTAGGGTTTCAGAGATGAATAATGGATACATGTCCCTCACATGTGTGGGGGTTTATATAATGCCCCCGATGCTTGACCATTGATTCCTATTTTTGGGTCTAGATATGCGCGTCCGCAAAAATAGGTAACTGTCAAGACTCAGTCAAAATGGGAAGGCGTGCCCATAACTAGTTGTTGGATCCGAGGAGGAGGTAGATTACGGGAAGAGAGGCATTCTGGTCGTTTCCTGATTGTCTTCTCGACTCGTGTCGGGTTGACGAGGAGATAATCGCGACAAGGTTAGGCATGCGTGTCGGGCATTGCTGGTCGCGCTCCCATGGACGTGGTCAACCAAGATGCTAGGCCACTGTTATTGGGTCGTGTCAGGGGTTAAGCGGATTGGGTCAATCCTAGTCATTGAGCCAGTCCAGAACAAGAGCCCCATAAATTATTGCTCTTGGGCACATGAGTGATGACTTAGAATCAGCCCGCGAAACGGGGGTGCTTCTTGGTTGATTTTGTACGAGGAGTACGAGTGATACTCATTGTGTTCATCTTGCAAGGAGAGAAACAGTTGAGCGGTTTCGAGGAAATGTCATGTCTTGAGGGGAAATTTAATACGAGGAGTCCAAAAGCTGCTTGGTGTTCGTTTTGCAGGGAAAGGAACGATTGATTGGAGTTCGGGGAGATTGTGTGCCATGCTTATATCGAGCCACGTGATATCAGAGAGGTGTGATGATGGCTAGCTTATGGACTAGAGCGTGATGATGATGCCTTTTAAGGATCCCTAGGCGCGTGCTCTCCCACGTGCTGATGAGTCCGGTCTATAAAAGGGAGGGAATGAGCTTTATTTGCACTTTTCTCCAGCTCTTCTTTTGCTCGTTCGCTCCATTTTCTGCTCGACTTCATCGGTTTCCTGCTCGACTTCAATAGTTTCCAGAGTTTTCGCTTATTTCTCTATTCACCGCAGTTTATTTCATTGTTCCTTTATTTGATCCGGTAAGTTTCCTTGTCTCCCCTTGATTTTATGGATTTAGTTTATGTCATAGCTTAGATTTTGAAGTTTTTCTCTTAGAAACGCGTGTGATTAGGGTTTAAGGTAACTTATCGCTTAGAAATCCCGACGGAATGTTGGTTGGAGGCGGTGGTTTCTCCATGTGAGACTGTTGGCGATGCCATGCATTTTTCTTGGGGATTTTGGAACCGCGGTGGTGTCAGATGAATGTAGATGTTTTTTTGTGAATCTAGGTCATTTTTGTCGTTCACCAAATGTTCTGGGTGAGTCCATCTCGTTTAGTTAGGGAGAGCGATGACCGTCTAGTAGTTGTTTAATTGAGGGCTCTGGTCGGGGATAGGGTCCTCGTTCCTTGGCGCCCTTTCACTTGATTAATGGTGGAAGGGTGAATTTGACATTGATGTCGAACTCACTGTTATCCTCTACTTTTCAGGTACAATGACTACTAGTGTTGACGATGAGTTTCTGAAAGAGCCTAGTGATTCTGCTCAGAGTTCTACTGATTGTATATCTAGCGAGACGAGTACCTAAGGAGCGTACGAGTCTGCACCAAGCGCATGGGAGCCAAGGTTGCCCGGGCAACAAGCTGCCGAGGGGGACGTAGAGATGGCTCATGTTAACCGAGTAGGTCCAAGTGAGCTCGTGGTGGAGGATGATCCATTGGAGTATATTTCTCACTTCATCGAGTATTCTGATGGTATCTTTACATTGGTGGACTCGGAGATGGTGCCGAAGAGCAGTGGGCGATATACATCCCCAATAAGAAAAGTTGGGTCTGCTCAAAGTTTGAAGCCCGATGGTTCCCTATGTATGATATCCCATTCAGGAAGATGGGTTTTCAGCTTCCCTTCTCGGATTTCCAGGTGGCGGTCTTCATGCATCTCCGTCTTTCTCCATCCCAGCTGCACTCGAATTCGATCGCCTTCTTGCGGGCTTTCGAGATCGTGTGTGACTATTTGGGCACCGGGGCCACTATTCCTATGTTCTTCCATTATTTTCATCTTCAAAGGCAAACGTCTGGTGGCCCGTTCGGTTGGGTTTCCCTGAAGTAGGAAAACAGAAAATTGTTCAAGGCGTATTTGGAGTCTGTCTGTTTCTTCAAGGACAAGTACATGCTTATTCAGTCTGTCTCGCAGAGGGCATTGTTGAACGTCTTTAAGGTTGCACCAGTGTACAACGAGGATGGGGCTCCTGTCCTGAACAAGGAGGGGAAGCACATGAATAAATGGTTGCCCAAGTTCCCCTTTCACTGGACCAGGAAGCATTATGATAATGGGATGAAGGTTTATCTATGGAAGAAGGTTCAGGTTGGTGTCGAGGATCGGGCCAGTTTTGACTGCCTCACTGCCTTTGTCGCGGGGATTCCTCCTGTCCAGCATGTGGGTAGAGGGGGAAAACTGGTCGTCGACAAGGACGAGAAGGTGGTGCACGACCTTGGTTTAATAGGTGTCAAGGAGCTCCTCGAGAGCGAGGATCATGTGGTGTATCTGAGTAATTACTTTATGATATGATTTTCTTTATATTCATGACATATTGTTTCTATTTGTTGACCATAATTTGTTGTTTCCTCGCAGATAAGATGAACCCTGCTCAAGAGCATTTGGCCAAGACGGCTGCTTCCAACCTGAAGAAGGCGCAAAAGGGTGTTAAGTCCTCTCCGTCTAACACGGGGACAACTCTTATGTCGGGCTCGGGTGCTTCATTGACTGGGCCAGCGGCCAGGGCTCTCTCCCCCTTGTAGGTGTCTTCAAGGCTCAAAAGGCAACGTAACGAGGGCACCATTGATATGACCGGGGAAAAAGAGAGGGGAAATACAAGCTGCCTCCTTGCTGGCATGATAGGTCCTTCATCGAGGGTTCTTCCTTGTATCTCTTTCGGGGCGAGTCCTTTTTGCTCGAGGGGTTGTATTTTTCGGCCAAGCGGACCGCGTTAGCTCAGGGTGTTGGGGCCATTATGAGGGTCTTGGAGATGGACGTTATATACACCGAGGGTGGCTCCTCTCAAGAAGTTAAGATGAGAAAATTGCGAGCTAAGCTGGCGGAGATTGAGAGGGAGCGCGTTGATGAGAGGGTTGCTCGAAAGTTGGCCGATGAGAGCTTGGAGAAATTGACCAAGGAGTATAACACAGTGTTGCTTGAGAAGAATGCTTTTGATGAACAGGTGGCATCCTTGACGGTCGAAGTTGCTGCTGCTGAAGATGAGCCAGAGAAGCTCAAGGCTTGAAGACCCGAGCAAAACTGGTTACTCGCCTTCAACTAGTGATGGATGATGCCCTGGCTGTTGCCGATGGGAGTTTTGACAACACGGTGAAGCAATTTAGGGTCCTGAATCCAGAGGCCAGGCTTAATACGACCGAAATGAGACTCCATTACTATGTGGCTGACATAAATATTGTGGTCCCTGAATATTTCAAAGATATTGGGGATGCGCCTGTCGGAGAGTCATCTTGTCAAAATCCCTTCATCGAGGAGGAGCCCCAGCCTGAACTTGATTCTTTTTCTCCTTTTTACCTTGTTTCGGTCTGTGCGCCATTTTGATGTAATTCTATTTTGCGGGCTTTAGCCCATTTTGATGTAAGTTCTGAACAATTGTGTTCCTTGTGGCCACATGATCGTTTTGTTGGATGGGGGCCTTGGGCCTTATTTTATTAAAATCTTGTACGATTGCAACTTTGGTGGTCGTCCTTTAATTTTACGATAGTGATGGTCGTTTATTATAATTTTTTATTGTGTTTGCATGTTTATTGTATGCTCGTTTGTTTGATACATTTTTTATTGG